GATGGCAGCCTGCAGCAAGTGCAGCCGGGCTGATGGCCAAGTGCAGTGATGTGCCAAGTGTGGGCACTCAGGGCACTCCAAGCCAGGACTCCTTTGCAAGTGGGGAACCCCTGAGAACTGTCTGTCCGGAGTGGGGGTCTGGTCCCTTTAAGCACAGCCCTCGGCTAGCCTGAGACAGCATCTCCACACTCTAAGTCCTAATCTGATGCCCTGTCGGCACTGCTTCTGGCCAGCCTTAACCTCGGTTCAGGGTCCACTCAATGTGGACATGCTAGTTCGAATTAGCAAAATGCTAATTCGAACTAGTTTTTAGGTCTAGATGCACTAGTTCGAATTAGCTTAGTTCAAATTAACTAATTCGAATTAAGTTAGTTTGAATTAGTGCTGTAGTGTAGACTCACCCCTCCATGTGGACAAGAGGAAACTAGCAGGTTTCCTTAGTTAGAATAAGAAAATACTTTTGAAATTGTACTGCTTTCGGGCCCCATCCACTAGGCTGGGTGCCTATGAAGGAAATTGCTTCGCTTTGGTATGATTTGCTCTCAACAAATCCATGATGGCTGTTGCTTATCACGGCTGTTGCTTATCACCTTATCATCCTCAAAGGTTTAACAAATTGGTTCCTTAATTATGCACATCCCTAACTCAACCGGGAGCCGTACAAGAGTGCAGGGAGTCTAGCAGGGAGGCATGTCGCCTGGGCCCAAACCCCTCTTTGGCCAGTAAAGAGGGAAGTAAAGACCCCAAAAGCGATAAACCCCTTTGACAATTTAGAGGCGCTGATGGGTGCTGTGTGCAGGCCAAGGCCTTGGCCCTTTGACCCTTGATCTAATGGGAAGCTCTTGGGGAGGAACTGCCGGGAGAGTCCAGCGGGGAACATCAATGGGCAATGGTGGATCCCGGAAAGTCAGTAAATCTTCCCCTTCCCTCGGCACAGCCGCGAGAGTGTGGTGCGGTCCGGGGCTGATGGGGCGGCGATAGAACGGAATAATCCTAAGGCCAAAAGCCACCCATCCCCAGGGCCTGGTAGCAGGGGCTGCAGGTTTGTATAATTTTTGGTTGTGCCCTGTTAGCCACACCCCTTGACCCACATTAACCGCACCCCGTGATCCCTATTAACCACACCCCTGGCCCCCGTTAGCCAGGCCTCTGGAGGTAACATGCTCAGGGCAAGATGGACACATGACCAGAAGTAAAAGGTGTCATGTCACCCCTCTCGAAGGACTTTTCCCACCATCTTCCTACCAACAGGGATTAGTTTGGCCCCCACCAAACCCACCTCATGCAACTATCCTGAAATTGCATTAACCCAATGTGTGTGACATTAACTTGGGGACAGAGAGGCTGGGGGAAGTGTTCCCTTTAAGAGGTTCCTTCCATGAGCAGAATGAATTTTGTGTTGTGCACCAGTAATGAGGACATGTGGCTTGTTTGGATGTGCCACTGTGGCACCCAAGTTATTAATAGTCTTCTGCAAGAGCTACGCTCTTTTCTAACAGGTGTAAGCTCTCTTGCTCAAGAAGGCAGTATGGACGCATGGCAGGGATTTCTTGCGCAAGAAACCCCTACGGCTAAAATGGCCATCGGAGCTTTCTTGCGCAAAAGCACAGCTCACCCATTGCAGTGTGGATGTTTTCTTGCGCAAGACTTCTTGCACAAGAACCCGTCAGTGTAGTCATAGCCTAAGAGTTTCCTCCCATGAGCAGAATGAATTTTGTGTTGTTCACCTGTACTGAGTTCATGTGGCTTGTTTGGATGTGCCACTGTTGCACCCAAGTTAGTAAAAAATATTTTATAAACCTTTACTTAATGATACTTTAATAGCCTTACTCTCATGCTTTTCTTTCTTGTAGTAATAAACCTTTAGATGTCAGATTCTAAAGGATTGGCTCAGCGTGATTCGTGAGTAAGGTCCAGAGGATAAATTGACCTGGGATCTGTGGCTGGTTTCTTGGAACTGGACAGAACTTGTTCAGGGGATAGTGTGAGCTACCCCTCCCCATCCCCTCTCCTAACACCTTCCACTACACACCTGCCCTGCCTCTCTCCTCTGGTGCTGGTCCCTCCCCTGCAGGTGTCTGCCCTTCTGCTTCACCCCCAGAATCCCTTTGGCACCTGCACCCTCCTGGTGCCTCCTCCTTCCCTCACTGCCTCTGCCCCCTTTGCTCTCTTTTTTCCTGATAACCACCCCCTCACTACCCTCTGCCCCCATTCCCCGCGGCCCGGTCTGTCACACCCTCCTTCCTCATGCCCACCCCTTCTTTCAACCCTTCTCCCAGCACCTCCCCCTCCCCCCTCTTGTTCCCAATACCCTTACCCCCTCCTCTCCCTGTCCCCCCTCCCACTGACACCTCCCCTCCTGCCCTTTTCCTCATTGTCTCCACTTTGGCCCCCTGGCATTTGTCTCTCCTCCACGCTGTCCCTTGGTGCCTTCCCCTTTTTCTCCTGACCTGCCCCCCTCCCCTCAGCACAAGCCCCTTCCTCTGCCACGGGGGGCGGACTGGCAATCAACATAGGCCCGGGAAATGGGTTGAGAACGGCCCTCCCCATGACATCACTCCTGCGTGCCCCTCCCCCTTTCTCTGCATCCAGGGCCAGCTTTAGGGTTGTGCCACCCCAAGCAAAAAAATTTTTGGCTGCCCTCCCCCGTCCCCCTTTTTTTGTCCAGGGAGGGTGCGTGCGCAAATGCAGCTTGCACAGCTTGCTGGGGGTGCGCACGCAAATGCAGCTTGTGAGGCTTCCTGAGGAGTGGGGCACAGGCTCCGGGAACAAAAAAAGAGGGGGGTGGCCAAAAAATGTTTTTGCTTGCGGCGGCAAAAAACCTAGAGCCGGCCCTGGATGCAGGGAAGGGGGAGGGGCACGCAGGGGTGACGTCATGGGAAGGGCTGTTCTTGAGCCATCTGCATCACTCTCAGGGTATGTCTACACTAGAGCTAATGTAGGCATTCAAAGTTGCAAATGAAGCCCGGGATTTAAATATCCTGTGCTTTATTTGCATCTTCCCGTCAAGGCGCCATTTTTAAATCCCCCCAGTCCGAACTAACTGCCCGTGGCTAC